ACGTCTTGAAACGTCACGGCTTAATTGTCTGAAAGTAAAGTCGAGGCAAAGATTGCTTGGAGGAGGGGGATGGAGGGGGATGGAGGGGGATGGAGAATGATTCGAAGCGGGTAAACGCGGAGTTATTAGGGGAGCATTTGCCACGGGGAAGGGGAGGATAGGAAATTGATGGGGAGAAATGAACGAGAATCTGGAGAATCTTTTGTCCTGTCCTTCGAAACGAAGGGAAGTTGCTTCGATTGCGAGTTAGAGAATTGTTCTTTTTTTTTTTTTTTGGTATGAGTAGAGTTTTGCAAAATTAAGCAAGCATTTTTTTTTCTTTTGATAAGATAATTATGATTAGTTTGTAAATGGCAATTGTTCGAAGGATGATTATTATGAAGAGGAAAAATTTAATAAAAAAGGCGTCACAAAACTTGAGACACAGATGAAAATAGAATAGGGCTTCCAACGTTTTAATGTATTCGTCTGTATCTAGTTTTAAATTTAAGACTATCGTTTGATTAAATTTTTTGTTTACAGGAACAATTAAAATTGTTTAGATTAGAATTTAGATTAGAAAACAATACTGCCTTCATCTGATCACTATTCAATTACAAAATACGGTCATTCGATATATTTTCCAATATTCCAAGCTTGAAATCCAAGAATCTTCTCTATTAGACCAGTCTCTAATTAACCAAAAATTCTCTATCACAACGACGTATTATAACTCAATCTCCTCCACCAAACTCTCTAATTAACCAAAAATCCTCTATTACAACGCCAATCACATCTCGATCCAAGAATCTTCTCCACCAGATCACCATTTACGCAAAAATTAAGATTTTTTTTTACGATGGAAAACAATACCGTCATTCGATATATCTTCCAATATTCTTGAAACTAAGAATTTTCTCTGCCAGATCACCATCTAATTATGCAAAAATTTAGATTTTTTTTTTTACAATGGAAAACAATACCGTCATTCGATATATCTTCCAATATTCCAAACTTGAAACCAAGAATTTTCTCTGCCATCATCTAATTACGTAAAAATTTACATTTTTTTTTTTACAATGGAAAATAATACTATCATTCGATATATTTTCCAATATTTCAAACTTGAGAACAAGAATCTTCTCTATATATCTATAATATATCACCATCTACAATATATCAATTACGCAAAAATTAAGATTTCTTTTTTTACGCTGGAAAACAATATCGTCATTCGATATATCTTCCAATATTCCAAACTTGAAATCAAGAATCTTCTCCATCAAATCACCATTTACGAAAAAATTAAGATTTTCTTATATTGGAAAACAAACCATTCGACATATCTTCCAATATTCCAAACTTGAGAGAATCTTCCCCACCAGCCCCTGATTATCCAAAAATTCTTACCACAACACTCCTATTACACCTGAATCACTAATCAACGAAAAATTCTCGGTTACAGCGGGAATTACAAAGGTCGGCTGGGCCACCCTTACGTTGCCGGTAAACCGTGCACCATGTGCAACGAGCACTGTTCGAGGAACAAGCTTTGCACGAACGCGTGCCACCACGTCGATCTCTGGTCGAACTGCGTCGAGCTGGCGAGGATGTTCCGCTCCTGGGTCTGCGAGACGAACACGAACGAAGGCCGCGAACGGCGGAAGTTCTGCGGTGCCACGTGCAACTGCCAGGGCAAGATCTACTATCACCACGGGTAGTGAACGATCCTCCACCTCCACCCCTCCCCCTTTCCCCTCGCATCGGTTCATCCTTCACCCTCCCCCCCTCCTTCCCTCTTTTCGGGACGTAATACGTCGACACGATCGAGGTATCTGAACTGAAATAATTTCAGGGTTTTGGAGGCGAAACGTTCGAGGCCTTCGACTTCGTAGGTGCGTGGAACAACGTGGAAATTGTGATTTTCCTCGACGAAAGGAACGACTTAGTTTCGTTCAATGATGAACCAAAGGGGTGAATTTTACGCGAATCGTTTCACACTTTGCCCTTATTGATTCGTTTAGGCGTCGATGATTAAGTTAAGAAAAAGCTCCTTGATTGAAAATCGAGGAGAATCGGTTTAAACTTTCGTCGGTCGATAAATTTAAAACGGGCGAGTAATCGCAGAAATCGACTCTCGATTCGTTTTTTTTTTTTTTTGGTGGATGGAAAGATTCTGAACTTTTCCATTGATCGATATACGGTATTAAAAATTCTTCGACGAACGAATAATTTTTTAAACTTAGGAAGTTTGCTCTTAGGAAGTTTTCTCTCTCCGCGTTGCAATCACTTTTGGTTGCTGCATCCCTTTTAATCGCGGAGTAAATATCATTAGAAGGATATTTCGTTTGTTTCGAGGGAGAAAGTGAGAAACGAGAGAGAGAGGGGGGGAGATAAGCGCGGCACAATCGTGAAGCAGACGAGAAAGTAAATTGAGCTGGATCAGCTTGTTCCCCCTCTCGAGAAGAGTTTGACTTTTCAGAATTGCTCCGCTTTTAATATATTTTATCTTTTTACCTTCGTTCAAAGATTATCGTCTTCGCGATATTTTTAATTTTTAAATTAGATTAAAAAAAAATAGAGAGAATCTGAATTCTTTCGACAATAAAACGTGATATTCGATCAAAAAGAAAGACGATCGAGGATTGCAGGATCTGGACGCGTTATTCGACCACAATTGAACGATAAAATATAAAATACGAATTAAAAAGACGCTATAATTATTTTTCTTTAGAGGAAAATTCCATCCAATTGGAACTGATTATTTTATTCACGCGATGAAACATGATATTCAACCTTCTATTCGTCAAATTTATTCTGATTTTATGTTTTAATACGAAAGAAAAAAAAAAAA